GCTTCACAAATCAACTATCCAGCTCAGAGAACACAGCCACATCAAAATCATCCACCTGAGCTACAAATCTTCTACATCATATCTATTCCACCGGATTCCCTTAAAGATAGCTGCAGTGACTCTTGCCATTGAAGACAGTTGCTACCTACCTTTGAACACTTAAACAAACTGATAACAAATTACATGCAACAGGATAAATAGTACATCAATCATCAAAGTTTACAAACCACAATTAGATCCAATAGAAAAGTTTATTGGTTAAAACGTTATTTAAAGACATCAATACGGCTTTGATTACTTTCTCTTCTCTTTCATTCACACAGACGACAATTTCCCCTCAATAATTTCAGTTACCAATGCCTAAGTATTCTATAGTGGCACTTGTTACTTTGGTCAGGAATATGCAACGGTATCTGCTGAATTAGTCACCTATTTAGCTACAAGTAAAGTTTTCCACACCCCTGCAACATCAGTCTCCGCAAATTTTAGACGACTATACTTCACTTGTTCTCCTCTTTTCCATTTCAGTCCGAAATGCAATCACATTGTTTTGCCTCGCTTTCACTAGCACATAGTTTGTTAACAATGTTTCGCTAAGTGATAGCTACAGTGGCCTGTTTAAATCCTTGATCTAGCTGTTTTTCCAAAGAGCACAACTCGTTAGAATTACTGAGTCATACCTTGTTTAAACCGCCTATTTATGTTCTTAAAAAACAATCTGTACTAATGCGCTTTTTGAACCAATTTCAACACACTGCATGGTCTGTTTTGAAGGTACAAATACTTCTAAGATCGGAACTTGTTGCAGATAGGACCAAATTCTGTCAAATAATAAACCTTTTGTCTACATTCTAAAGACGGAATATTGTAGTTGTAATTTAATATAAAATTAAAATCGAAATTTGAACGTTTGTTTATTCGTACTGCTGTTAAAAAGCTGAATCGCTTCCCTACTTAGTTTCACTCTCGTATCAATCCAAGTTATTTAGACTATAGGCTGTGTGTAGATTCGGATTAATTTAATTTCACTCGTAAGATTTAGTCATGAACAAACATCAAATTACCGATTCTAACCTTTGATCGTATTCTGATTTAACCCCTTCTGATGACAGGCAGTTCAGCAGTATTTGAAGTTGAACTTCTTTGAAGTTATTTAATGAATTGATAAGCAAACTGGACTTGGATACGAAACAGACAAACATGTTAAGATGCATTTTTTCAATAATTTCATAATTCCTATTGTAGCAATAAGAAAACAATATTCAGCGAAGAGACTCTTTTCAACGAATTTATTATCAAGCTGTACAATCGTATATATATGGTTTTTTGCTAAGAAATTATATCCGGTGAGGGAATTAGGTCAAAGGTGTGAATACATGAAATAAAAATAGTAGTTTGAAATGCAATTAAAATATTTGTGATTATAATCATAGTTTAATGTCAAGTGGCAAAATAATTATTGTCATATATAGAATAATACATAAGGTGTATAGATTTTGGAAAGGGGTACAAAATTATAAGATTAGAAGACGAATATAAAATGTTACATAACATGGTGTGAAATTGATAAGATGGAATTCAATATTGTAAAAATAAAAATATAAAAATTAATAATTTTGGGTTTAAAATGTCAAGTGGGTCAAGTGGAAAAGATTCAGAGTGAGAATAGTAATAATAATAATGATAATAATAATAATCGTAGCAATAAGGGAAAAGTACATAGAATAACTAAATAAACAAAATAAATAAATGTCTATCCCTCTACGGCCAAGTCAGAAGTAGGGATTGTACATACTTCTTTTGTACACAAAGGTCTGGCTTAAAGTCATGAATTGCCAAGGCCTCCGCTGTCTTTAGAAGTCTGTAACACAGAAAACGCGGGAAGTTAGCATGGATTCTATATATGATCTTAAAATCATGGTCAGGGTTGACAGAGTGACAGAAGTCGATCAGATGTTCCAAAATAGAGCTTCGCACATACTTCCTTTCTCCCTTGTAAAACCATGATGGAATATGTTCTTGTATCCGTGTGGAAAGCGTCCTCTGGCTACGGCCAATGTACCTTACTCTACAAGAGCAGGTGAAATGATAGATGCACATGGAGGCGGCCAGACGGGGGAGCTTATCTTTTACAGAGGTAGAGAACAACTTGTGGCTAGTGAACGTCATATGTAATTTTGCTGCATAGAACGTTTTACTAACTGATTTAGAGAGACGATTTTTGAGCATATCTGAAGCTTGATCACCTTTGAATTCCAAGTTCATGAACAAGGTTTTCTTTGGAACTGTGTCGGTGACCAGTTTAGACTGCTTATCTTTCATGTTGCTGTCAATAAATCGGTTAGGGTAACCGATTATTATTAATATTATTATCATTATTATTATTACTATTCTCACTCTGAATCTTTTCCACTTGACCCACTTGACATTTTAAACCCAAAATTATTAATTTTTATATTTTTATTTTTACAATATTGAATTCTATCTCATCTAATTTCACACCATGTTATGTAACATTTCATATTTGTCTACTAATCTTATAATTATGTACCCATTTCCAAAATCTATGCACCTTATGTATTACTCTATAGACGACATTAATTATTTTGCCACTTGACATTAAACTATGATTATAATCACAAATATTTTAATTGCATTTCAAACTACTATTTTTATTTCATGTATTCACACCTTTGACCTAATTCCCTCACCGGATATAATTTCTTACAAAAAACCATATATATATGATTGTACAGCTTGATAGTAAATTCGTTGAAAAGAGTCTCTTCGCTGAATATTGTGTTCTTAATGTTAAGATGCGTCATCAATAGGTATAAGCTCAGTGTTGAGTTTGTACATCATTAGTAAACTTCATCGTTGGTAGGTTGGTTGGAAAAAATCATCAGCCTTAAGGCTACTTTACAGTTTCTACATGATTAATTTCAAGTATCAGGTAAAATCTTAAGGCTGCAGTGAAATTTTCTCAGCTATTCAAGTTGAACCAACAAACCTGATTTGAAATAATTGTGAATCAATTTTTGTTTTTCGTCTGAAACCAGTTTGCGGCCAGAATTGTCTCTATCTACACAGAGAATATTCGCTCTCACCTTTGATGAAATAGACATCCTCTAAACACTTTCTACTGTATTTTTGTTTGTTACGAAACTGAATTCAGTGCAATGTTCCCAGGTATTTGGGACAACAGTTCCACATTTTTGTGATGATAAACATAGTTTTATGGGCAACAATCAGTGTGATACTCAACAGAACGAAGGGAAGTCGTGTGCCCTACTGTATGCATGTAGACAAGAGATGTGATGGATTACAAAGATGTTTTTTCGATGTTCCAGACAAAGTAATTACTTCTTGTGATGGACATACTAAAGAAGATCGATGCTAAATGTGTAACCTGTAATAATAGAACTATAGCTGCAAACATATAAGCAAAGATCATTCATGAATTATTACGTTTATTTATTATTATTATTGTTCCCTTGGGTTCCTAGTGGAACATAGGGTTTCATCTGCATGCACGTCTGCACTTGCTTCTGTATTCTGATGTACTTTTCACTTGCATCCATGTTAGTCCATGCTGTTTCAACTCCTCTTCACACGATCTCCTCCATGTCACCCTTGCACTGACGTCACACTCGCCGCTTCCCTTTCGGGTTCCACTCGAGCGTTGGCCTGACGCGCGATGTCACCCAGTGGCCTCCTCAGCGAGTGTCCAATCCATCTCCACTTTGTCCTGCATATTTATTGAGCGATTGGTTCTTGTTTTGTTTCTTCCCATAGTTTCTTGATGGTGGTTCTTTCCGGCCATCCGATCTTCAGTATAGAACCAGAAGACAGTTATGTTGATAAATATCTGCAACAGGCTGTTGGAAATATTCTTTGTGACCCGCCGCCAAGTTTCTGATCCATCCGTATAGAAGAACTGACTGACTTGACGTTTGTATTGAAAATCCGAATTTTGTTGTTGATGTTGAGTGAGTGACAGTGGAAGATTTCCAGATTGGTTTCAGGTTGATGAATGTGTTTCTCGCCTTCCCGATTCTCGATTTGACATCCTCGTCCGTTCCTTCTGTCTGGAGCTGAGACAATGCTCCCTAGATAAGTGAATGAAGTAACCTCTTCCAAATCCCTCCCGTTGATGGTGATTGGTGCTGGATGTTGCTGCTGTTGTTGGTTGGTTGGTTGGTTATTTTCATAACCTCCGTCTTGTCTATGTTCACCTGCAGTCCTGTCTTCTCCAGCTGCTTCTTCGACCAGTTTGTCGGTTTTCGCTTGTAAGTCTTCGATTTTGTGTGACATCAAACATAAATTATCCACACGCGAAATCCAGGTCTTCTAGGTTGTTCATGTTGGTCCAGGATATCCCTGTCTTCTCGTTTCCCACTGTCTGACGCATAATCCAGTCCACCACAATTAGGAATATCATTGGTGATAATAAGCACCCTTGTCTGACTCCTGTGTTTACTCCAAACGCTTCGCTGAGTTTTCCGTTGTGGATCACTTGACATGTGCCATTGTCGTAGAGCTGTTGAATAAGGTTGATGAATATTTGGGGTACGCCGTAGTACTTGAGTAGTTTCCAAATTACTTCGCGGTCAACCTCGCCTAGATTACTAGCTCACTAGTTTTCTAGATGGTCCCAAGCCAGGATAAAGAGGAAGGGTTGGGGCGTGGTGCTAGCAACTCCACCCCCAAAACTTAACCAAACTGCTACAAAAACTTCAACGCACAAATATATTAAAAATTCTAAAAATACAAATACGTTTATTCATGCATATATTTAATTCATAATATAAGAATTTCATCTTTAAATTAGCAAAATCAAACATAAAGTCCCATCCATTAATATTAATCAAGAACACTGATCAACACTTTTTAGACTCAAATCGAAATAAGGCAATGCCATAATGATGTAGATAACGTGATAGTCATTTTATTCTGCGAATGTCTTAGATACGCCGTAATATGTGTCAGGTAAGCGGAATAAATTAGTAGGGTTTCAATATAGAAAGAATATTAAGGATCTAGAAAATCATTAAAGACAGAAATCAATGCACACATTAAAACTTTAATTTCTCATATATATTCGCTGGATGATTAACTATGACTCATCTCCAGTTTTGTTAGAGAGTTTATCGCATATTGTTTTGTCTTCACAGCTGACGATTGTTAAAAATACTCCTATTAAGTAGAAGCATTCCAGATAGGTTTTAAACATCGCTGATTTCAGTGTTGTGTCTGTAGTGTATCTCAGCCATGATGAATTATAGTATATAACCTAAAAGTAATATGCAGATACACAAGGAGCAGATATTAGGCTGGCGCCGTATAGATATATATATAAGTGAATGAATTAAATCTTTGTAAGACAAGGCTGCCTACTATCGCCAATGATTTTCCTGATTGCAGTAGACTGGATAATGCGACAAAGAGCGGGCAATGAGGAAACAGGCATAAAATGAACTCACACAAAAAACTTGGAGGATCTGGACTTCGCCGATGATATATGTCTGATTTCCCACAAACTGGAAGATATGCAAGCGAAAAGCAACAAGTTGGCAGAAGAAGCATCTAAGGAAGATAGGACTTCAGGTGAACATAGAGAAAACAGAGGTGATGAAGATCCCTGGGCAACAGCAACAAGAACAACAGACAACAATCAGCATAAATGGAAGGAACCTGAAAGAAACAACCTCTTTTACCCACCTGGGAAGCATCGTTTCAACTACAGGTGGACGGAACTGACGAGGATATCAAACCAAGAATCGGGAAAGCAAGACAAGCTTTCACTACTCTCAAGTCTGTGTGGAGGTCAACAGCACTCAGCATCAAAACGAAGATAAGATCCGCATTTGGAGTTGAAAATTCCAATGTGAAGTCAGTCAAGGCTACTATACGGATGAGAAACTTGCACTGCGTGTCATAAAGAGCATCTCAAACAAACTACAGACCTTCATTAACAGTTGTCTTCGCTCAATACCACTCAAGATCAGATGGCCGGCCAGAAAAGATCAGCAACAGAGAGGGATCTCTGGCAATGAGCGAACCAACCCCAGCAGGAACCGATTGTGAAACAAATAGGCAGGAAGAAATGGAGATGGATTGGACATACTCTCAGGAAACAATGCATCAAGTGACATCACTAGACAAGCCATTGCTCGAGTGGAACCCGAAAGGGAATCGGCGAGTTGGTCGTGAGTGCAAGAGTGACTTGGAGGAGGTCATGTGAAGAGGAGATGAAAGCGTGTGGGCAGACGTGGAGCCAGGTGAAGACTCTAGCAGAGAACCGAACGGAATGGAGACGCACGGCTGAATCCGTATGTTCCTCTAGGAATTAAAGGGTACAATAATAATAATAATAAATATCGGAACAATGAACAGTAGAAGACTTGTGAGGGTGAAGCTAATGATCATTAAGACAAAATACGATACATGTATTAAGGAAGCCGCAATACTTATATTAAGATCACAGTTCATCAAATGATATTATTCATGCCGAATTACGTTGTCTATCGCTGTCCAGTGTGTATTGCGTTCCTTCTTCAGTGAATTTTTTAATCATCCTGTAATTAATACTGCTTCTTCAGAGACGTTACTTGATAGGCTTTTTTCAGATCTTTGAGTTCTGAATGAGATATAGGACTTCAAGCTAGAGCTTTTGACTTTCACAAGTGGCGCTTCCTAGCCTCATGATAAACCTTCCATCTTTACAGGGCTTACCGTAGGTCAAGCAAGGCTTAGAAATTCTTTGGGTGAGAAGCACACTCATGATCATGTGTACAGGGAGCTTGCTAGAGTATTCTGTCATTGAACCGCCGACACACTCTCTGTATTTTGATTGGACACTAGTCCGTGACTAGTGTGATGTGTCTAGTCCTCTCTTTGGTGCAGACTGAATTCTATCAGTCAGCTTTGCAATGTGGTCACTATTCTGGGTAACTCGCCATCACGGTGCACATTGGTTTTGATGATATTAGATGGCTGGAGGCAATCCTAGAATGGTGGCCACAGTCTGCACCAAAGAGAGGACAAGACACATCACACTAGCTACTGACTAGTGTCCAATCAAAAATATCCAATACAGTCCTATAGGAGGTCAATGGCGAGCGTGAATAGCTTAGTGGTAACGTCTCTGACTGCAGCGCTGGTTGATGCGGGTTCGAATCTCAGAAGGGACATGAGTTCCTTCAAGGTTGCAGATACGCCTTGCTGACGAGTGCCAACTGGCACGAAACCTAGGTCCAAGGCTTCCTGCCGATGGCCTCCAACCATCTAATATCATCAAAACACACTCTATATGTTACTTTATTTACAACTGATACATATTATAATTCCATTTGAAATGTGGAAAACAAACAGAGTAAAGGCAGCTAACTGACAGTGCTGAGAACAAGTAAATGGCATTCATATACAGTTAACACTGGAACCATTGTCATGACGTTCAAAGTTTTTGATGTTGTATACTACCTAACAAGAATGAAAGCTGAATTACAGGTTGAATACCATTTCAGTCAAATAAAAGACTTAGTCTGATCATCTCAATTACGGCTGGAAGAACTCAAAACCTCTCCTGTTAAAAACTTTCGCTGATATCAATCAAAAGGGTGTCCTGAGAAAAGTATCCTCAGCAAGGCTTATACTGAAGGCTTAAAGAGAATCCAATCTGGATGAGGAGCTGGAGTCGTATGGTTAGAAAGAGCTGACTACATCGATAAGATGAACAGTATTCTACAGGACAATACAAAATTCCAGGAACTACCTAGCTGTAAGGATAATGCAGATAAGGTGGAAAAGAAATATTTTGAAATATCCTGAAAGCTTTGGTATCCAGTCATATAGTTTCTGCCCTAATTCTCAAACGTCTAAAGCCTTTAGGAACAAATATACCCAGATTGTCTGGGCTACCTAAAATTCATTAGCCAACGTGCCAAAGGGACCAATATTATATATGTTTAACTCACCATTCCATGATATAGCTAGTCGGCTGGTAAACATACTTAAACCACTGCAGCTAAAAGTGGCTATGTGTAGCTTAAAGGACAATTTCAAATTGTTAGAATAAATAAGAGATAAAAACATAAACAATGAAACAATGAACTCTACGGTTGTCAATTTCTTGCCCACTAATGTCTCTTTATTAGAGACCATCGATTTCATCTGTGAATCTCTGATAGAAAATGATATAGAAGTGGGTATACCACCTAACCTCTACCGGAACTGATACTCCGTTGTACGATGAATGTGTGGTTTCAGTCTAACAACAAAATCTATCGTCGATTCCAGAACAAAGCAATGAGCTTCTCCCCCCCCCCACAGGTCCTCTCTTAGCGGATGTATTTAAGGCAAAATTAGAGAACCATCAACGAACTCCCATCCTACTGTAGATAAATCAGTAATACTTTTATCCCGCATAAGAACAAATCGATACCGACGCCCTCCTGAAAACGTTCAATATGCCTCACCCATAAACTGAGTTCACATATACAGCAGAGAAAGACATTGTCATTTCTTAATATCTTGCTAATACGAACACTAGATGGAGGCGTAAAATGAGGTATTTTCCGGAAATGATCATGCTTTCGCCAGTACACCTATTTCAGGTCATCTGTTCCTCTTTCTTACGAACAAAATCTCATCAGTACTCTGATGATTTATGCAGAAAATTTCGTTAGTCTCCATGATGAGAACCGATAGAGAGAAATGCCTGAAAACTGAGTAGAAGAAACATGTATATATGACTGCACCGTCATAAGGTAACTCAGTCACTGAAGTGCTGGCATGGAAACTCCAAAAAAGAAATAGCCAAACATTCTTTGCCACAACACCATGTTTAAAGTTCACCACTCGTTGTATACTTTCAACGAAGATGAGGGATAAGCTAACGATTCCGGCCACTTCAACGTGCACTTATAAATTTAACTTTTATGGATAAGATTTTATTTTGATAAATCACACAGCGTTATACAGTAATATTAACTGATGACGTTTTGAGCACAAATTATGTGAGTGACTTCATATAATTATCAGCAATAATTTGTTGATAATTATATCAAGTCACTCACATAATTTGTGCTCAAAACGTCATCAGTTAATATTACTGTACAACGCTGTAATTCATCAAAATAAAATCTTGTCCATAATGGAGTTATATACTCTATCACAGTGCCCAAGTTTTATACTTATATCAAATTTAACTGTTCTTGTAGAGGCAGTTACATAGTTACGACAACTCGTAAAACCCACCATCGCCTTCCTCAACATCGTTCAACGTGGTTAGGTAAAGAATTTTTCAAGTCAGTCAGGAGTTCCACATTGGTACACCCTGTGGATACCGAGTATAAGACTGATAAAAAATTCAGCCTTTATTCATCTCTATACAAGATGCCACCCCAATTCCCTACTTTTGTACGCCTTCATCTGCTGAGTATATCTAAGACACTTGCCTTCAAAAAAATACCTCAACTCAATCTCTGTCTTCAGGAAAAGCTTGTTCAACCCACCTCCCTCTCATGCTGTTGAACCCCAACGTAGGATAGTTATCTCGCCCAATGACACTGGATAAATTTAAATATTATTTTTATTTGTACTGCTTACATCTTTTACCTACCTGGGAAGCATCGTTACAACTACAGGTGGACGGAACTGACGAGGATATCAAACCAAGAATCGGGAAAGCAAGACAAGCTTTCACTACTCTCAAGTCTGTGTGGAGGTCAACAGCACTCAGCATCAAAACGAAGATAAGATCCGCATTTGGAGTTGAAAATTCCAATGTGAAGTCAGTCAAGGCTACTATACGGATGAGAAACTTGCACTGCGTGTCATAAAGAGCATCTCAAACAAACTACAGACCTTCATTAACAGTTGTCTTCGCTCAATACCACTCAAGATCAGATGGCCGGCCAGAAAAGATCAGCAACAGAGAGGGATCTCTGGCAATGAGCGAACCAACCCAGCAGGAACCGATTGTGAAACAAATAGGCAGGAAGAAATGGAGATGGATTGGACATACTCTCAGGAAACAATGCATCAAGTGACATCACTAGACAAGCCATTGCTCGAGTGGAACCCGAAAGGGAATCGGCGAGTTGGTCGTGAGTGCAAGAGTGACTTGGAGGAGGTCATGTGAAGAGGAGATGAAAGCGTGTGGGCAGACGTGGAGCCAGGTGAAGACTCTAGCAGAGAACCGAACGGAATGGAGACGCACGGCTGAAGCCCTATGTTCCTCTAGGAATTAAAGGATACAATAATAATAAATATCGGAACAATTAACAGTAGACGACTTGTGTGGGTGAAGCTAATTATCATTAAGTCAAAATATGATATGCATTAAGAAAGCCGCAATACTTATATTAAGATCACAGTTCATCAAATGATATTATTCATGCCGAATTACGTTGTATATCGCTGTCTAGTGGGTATCGCTTTCCTTCTTCAGTGACTTTTCTAATCACCCTGTAATTATCATTGTTTCTTCACAGACGTTACTCGATATGCTTTTTTCATATCTTTGAGTTCTGAGTGAGATATAGGATTTCAAGCTAGAGCTTTGGACTTTCACAAGTGGCACTACCTAGCCTCATGCTTAACCTTCCATCTTTACAGGGCTTACTGTAGGTCAAGCAAGTCTTAGAAGTGCTTCGGGTGAGAAGCACACTCATGACCATGTGTATAGAGAGCTTGCTAGAGTATTCTGTCATTGAACCGCCGACACACTCTCTGTATTTTGATTGGACACTAGTCAGTAACTAGTGTGATGTGTCTAGTCCTCTCTTTGGTGCAGACTGAATTCTATCAGTCAGGTTTGCAATGTGGCCACCATTCTAGGTAGCTCGCCATCACGGTGCACATTGGTTTTGATGATATTAGATGGTTGGAGGCAATCCTAGAATGGTGGCCACAGTCTGCACCAAAGAGAGGACTAGACACATCACACTAGTTACTGACTAGTGTCCAATCAAAATATCCACTACAGTCCTACAGGAGGTCAATCGCGAGCCCGAATAGCTCAGTGGTAACGTCTCTGACTGCAGCACTGGTTGATGCGGGTTCGAATCTCAGAAGGGACATGAGTTCCTTCAAGGTTGCAGATACGCCTTGCTGACGAGTGCCAACTGGCACGAAACCTAGGTCCAAGGCTTCCTGCCGATTGCCTCCAACCATCTAATATCATCAAAACACACTCTATATGTTACTTTATTTACAACTGATACATATTATAATTCCATTTGAAAAGTGGAAAACAAACAGAGTAAAGGCAGCTAACTGACAATGCTGAGAACAAGTAAATGGCATCCATATACAGTTAACACTGGAACCATTGTCATTAGGTTCAAAGTTTTGTGATGTTGTACACCACCTAACAAGAATAAAAGCTGAATTACAGGTTGAAAACCATTTCAGTCAAATAAATGACTTAGTCTGATCATCTCAATTACGGCTGGAAGAACTCAAAACCTCTCCTGTTAAAAACTCTCGCTGATATCAATCAAAAGGGGGTACTGAGAAAAGTATCCTCAGCAAGGCTTATACTGAAGGCTTAAAGAGAATCCAATCTGGATGAGGAGCTGGAGTCGTATAGTTAGAAAGAGCTGACTACATCGATAAGATGAACAGTATTCTACAGGACAATACAAAATTCCAAGAACTACCTAGCTGTGAGGATAACGCAGATAAGGTGGAAAAGAAATATTTTGAAATATCCTGAAAGCTTTGGTATCCAGTCATATAGTTTCTCCCCTAATTCTCAAACGTCTAAAGCCTTTAGGAACAAATATACCCAGATTGTCTGGGCTACCTAAAATTCATTAGCCAACGTGCCAAAGGGACCAATATTATATATGTTTAACTCACCATTCCATGATATAGCTAGTCGGCTGGTAGACATACTTAAACCACTGCAGCTAAAAGTGGCTATGTGTAGCTTAAAGGACAATTTCAAATTGTTAGAATAAATAAGAGATAAAAACATAAACAATGAAACAATGAACTCTACGGTTGTCAATTTCTTGCCCACTAATGTCTCTTTATTAGAGACCATCGATTTCATCTGTGAATCTCTGATAGAAAATGATATAGAAGTGGGTATACCACCTAACCTCTACCGGAACTGATACTCCGTTGTACGATGAATGTGCGGTTTCAGTCTAACAACAAAATCTATCGTCGATTCCAGAACAAAGCAATGAGCTTCTCCCCCCCCCCCAGGTCCTCTCTTAGCGGATGTATTTAAGGCAAAATTAGAGAACCATCAACGAACTCCCATCCTACTGTAGATAAATCAGTAATACTTTTATCCCGCATAAGAACAAATCGATACCGACGCCCTCCTGAAAACGTTCAATATGCCTCACCCATAAATTGAGTTCACATATACAGCAGAGAAAGACATTGTCATTTCTTAATGTTTTGCTAATACGAAAGCTAGATGGAGGCATAAAATGAGGTATTTTCCAGAAATAATCATGCTTTCGCCAGTACACCTATTTCAGGTCATCTGTTCCTCTTTCATACGAACAAAATCTCATCAGTACTCTGATGATTTATGCAGAAAATTTCGTTAGTCTCCATGATGAGAACCGATAGAGAGAAATGCCTGCAAACTGAGCAGAAGAAACATGTATATATGACTGCACCGTCCTAAGGTAACTCAGTCACTGAAGTACTGGCATGGAAACTCCAAAAAAGAAATAGCCAAACATTCTTTGCCACAACACCATGTTTAAAATTCACCACTCGTTGTATACTTTCAACGAAGATGAGGGATAAGCTAACGATTCCAGCCACTTCAACGTGCACTTATAAATTTAACTTTTATGGATAAGATTTTATTTTGATAAATCACACAGCGTTATACAGTAACATTAACTGATGACGTTTTGAGCACAAATTATGTGCTGATAATTATATCAAGTCACTCACATAATTTGTGCTCGAAACATCATCAGTTAATATTACTGTACAACACTGTGTGATTTATCAAAATAAAATCTTGTCCATAATGGAGTTATATACTCTACCACAGTGCCCAAGTTTTATACTTATATCAAATTTAACTGTTCTTGTAGAGGCAGTTACATAGTTACGACAACTCGTAAAACCCACCATCGCCTTCCTCAACATCGTTCAACGTGGTTAGGTAAAGAATTTGTCAAGTCAGTCAGGAGTTCCACATTGGTACACCCTGTGGATACCGAGTATAAGACTGATAAAAATTCAGCCTTTATTCATCTCTATACAAGATGCCACCCCAATTCCCTACGTTTGTACGCCTTCATCTGCTAAGCATATCTGAGACACTTGCCCTAAAAAAATATCTCAACCCAATCTCTGTGTTCAGGAAAAGTTTGTTCAACCCACCTCCCTCGCATGCTGTTGAACCCCAACCTAGAATAGTTATCTCGCCCAATGACACTGGATAATTTTAAATATTATTTTTATTTGTACTGCTTACCTCTTTTACCTACCTGGGAAGCATCGTTTCAACTACAGGCGGACGGAACTGACGAGGATATCAAAGCAAGAATCGGAAAAGCAAGACAAGCTTTCACTACTCTCAAGTCTGTGTGGAGGTCAACAGCACTCAGCATCAAACGAAGATAAGATCCGGATTTTCAACTCCAATGTGAAGTCAGTCAGTGCTACTATACGGATCAGAGACTTGCACTGCGCGTCATAAAGAGCATCTCAAACAAACTACAGACCTTCATTAACAGTTGTCTTCGCTCAATACCACTCAAGATCAGATGGCCGGCCAGAAAAGATCAGCAACAGAGAGGGATCTCTGGCAATGAGCGAACCAACCCAGCAGGAACCGATTGTGAAACAAATAGGCAGGAAGAAATGGAGATGGATTGGCCATACTCTGAGGAAACAAACCATCAAGTGACATCACTAGACAAGCCATTGCTCGAGTGGAACCCGAAAGGGAAGCGGCGAGTTGGTCGTCAGTGCAAGGGTGACTTGGAGGAGGTCATGTGAAGAGGAGATGAAAGCATGTGGGCAGACTTGGAGTCTTATAATTCAATAACTTCTGAAAACATTTCAGTGTTACTTACAAGCGCTTCTCCAATGACGACGAGTGTGCCACTAACTAGATTGTATGGAAACTGAAATAAAACAAAAAAAAAACAATTTGCAGTTCACACTGATATTTTACTCATAGTCAGTTGATTAAAAGCAAGATTACTGACAATGCAAGTTGTACGATGTTCATTTTTATCATGCAATTCTTGATAATTAACAAGCCATCGGAATAACGCTACCTTCCGATAAACAGTTGATTTATATAAGGTTATTAGGCAGCGACACAGCTGATGAGAAACTGTAACACTTGATTTTTGTGTATTATCACAGATTATAACAGAGGGGCGGTATGATATCATAAACTGGATAGAGAGTTTACCGTAGCATCGAGGACTGTAGAACTGTACACCGATGTCTACTCACTGGAACTGTGAAAATTACTCACTTCTGTTTCAAACAGAAATAGATAAGTGGCGTGATTTCCGTGTCCTGATTTTTCATTCACTGTCATATCGTGTTTTTAAACGACACCACTAGCAGCTATGCAACACTTATACTTCGAGAAAGTTTGCAGATAAATTGGCGTGCAAGAGTATATGATGGAGAAGATTTGTAGCTCAGGTGGATGATTTTGATGTAGTTGTGTTCTCTGAGCTGGATAGTTGATTTGCAAAGCTTTCGTTGACCTACTAGGAAACATCTTCAGTGCATACTTCAATTTGAATTGAATTGAGCTTTTAGATTTCTCCACGAGTTTATTAGTCATCTCTCCTGGTGGGTGACCTTGAACGTGATTGGTTGTGTGTGTTTCGTGTGTTTTCACACCCTCTAGGCTACTTGTATTGGCATCGGTGCTGATTGTTTCCTTGACTTGAAGTTTGACCTTTTGTGTGTAAGATTCCCTTCTTATTGATTGATAAATTTTGTTTATTTCAATGCGTCTATTGATTGACGACTCACTGGAATACCAGGCTTCTAAAAATTCTCTAGCATTCTTGGTGTTTTCTCTGTCTAATATTTGAACGTTGGTTGTCGCAGTCGAACTGATGTCCGTGGTTGCCTATATGTAGTGATATCAGGGAGTGGATGTCATTTCTCTTGACGGCTAGTTTATGATCATGGATACGAAAACGAAGGGGACGTCCACATTGGCCAATGTAGTGTTTTTCGCAGTTGTGACAGTTTATTTTGTGGATGATGTTGGTTTTATCTTCTTTCACTGTTGAGTCTTTTGGTTGACATAGAGCCAGCTGAGTGAAGTGATTTTGTTGGTTTGTGTGCGACGTCAATTCCTAAAGGTTTGAAGAGTCTTGCAATGATTTCTGAGATGTCCTTTATATATGGTAGGGCGACTTTCTTCATGCTTTCCTTGGGGGTTCCACTACAAGTAGTCTAGAGGGTGTGAAAACACACAAAACACACACAACCAATCACGTTCAAGGTCACCCACCAGGAGAGATGACTAATAAACTCGTGGAGAAATCTAAAAGTTCACTTCAATTCAAATTGAAGTATGCGCTGAAGATGTTTCCTAGTAGGTCAATGAAAGCTTCGCAAATCAACTATCCAGCTCAGAGAACACAACTACATCAAAATGCAAGAGTATATAAAATAACTTAAAATTCACTTGATACGTGAAATACTCACACGGAATATTTGAAAAATAAGGTAGAAGACAAATCCTATTAGGATTAATACCACAGATATCAGGTATAGCACAAAATATCCTCTGTCTGACAATGGTCTCGATGTGAACCCAACAGTGATTGATATAATTCCCACAAAAGCTGTTATAGCAAGTGCAAGCAAGTTGCACATTAAGTTGACTTTGTAACAGTATATAACAGTGACTCCTGACCACAGTATTATCTAAGAAATAAAGTCATGAAATAATAAAAATAGGAAATATAAACGTTTTATAAATAGAGCCTTACAAACATTCAACAATTATGGTTTGTGTGTTTATATCACATGGATTGCAGTCACTTATTTCACGGTATTTCATTGCTAACAGCATTCTTGAAATCTATCGCAAGGCTTTTGCGAACTTTGACGCTGATATATTTCGTATATTTTATCCGACTTATATCAGACCTCATTTGGAATATGGGATCCAGGCAGCGAGCCCGTGTTTCAAATACGAAATAGACTTATTAGAAAGGGTGCAAAGAGTAGGAACTAAGCTAATAAAGGGTTTCTCAACCCTCTCATATGAGGAGAGGTTAAGTCGACTGGGTTTATTTCCACTGTCATACAGACGACTTAGGGGTGACCTAATACTAGCATACCGTATCCTAAGAAATGATTTTGGAGCTAATTTATCTAATTTATTTCTTCCTTCTAGCACCAACCAATTGCGAGGACATCACCTCAAGGTTCAAAAACCACGGTCGAGTCGTCTGCGTCTGGAGATCCGTTTTTCGCATCGAATTGTGAACCATTGGAACTCCCTACCGGATCACGTCGTATCAGCGCCATCCGTTGATTCATTCAAGGCGAGACTGAACCTCCTGTGTGTAACAAATCGAAAGGATTAACACAGGCATATAGCCTACTATCCTAAATAAATTGTAAACTGTAAACTCTATTTACCACTCAATGAATAGGAGTGGTTGTCAACTTAATTGCATTTTATGAAGAAATTGCGATAATATCCAACTTGAGGCCAGTGAGCAAGTATCTATATTTGTGTCTGCTCTAAATTGCCAGGTGATGTCTCTATGTTTTAATTATCATATAGGGATGTGTATTTTCATCAGTGATGCGGCCAGCTTTCCACATTTTAGTAATTTTTTGAAGAACATCTGATAAGTAGATTCTTCGATTGCTTTGATTGCAGTTTTTATTTACGTGTGGTTAACGCACAATTTCATCCTTTTAAATCAATGTCAGCTTTCAACTTCATAACGATTTACCTTCACCGTCATTAGTTTCATCTTTTTGCCCGGTTATTTTTTGGCGTCGACCCCTAACCAAGTGGATTACAAAGGACAATGACAGAAGGTTCCGACGATATTCTTAGGAGCTGTAAAAATGCTTGGAGTGCACCGATCATGATTCCCGCAGTATTCTAAAATACACAATACTTGATTTGATGCAATATTTAGTTTATTATTTCAAATTCACTGATGTACAGTAGGAAATAAGAATCATTCACTCACCAAACTTATTATATTTTGAAAAAATGTTTTTGAAATCATAACTTACTACTAACAGCATCGTCAATACACTAACTGCACGCATCGCTCTCAATTTTCGAACATTTACTAAGCACACGTGCAAAATAAGAGCAAGCAAGCTAAAATGAATAATCAACGTGTAATACAAATGTATTCATTAGAATCGAAAACAAATCAGTTTGTCTTAAGTCAACTGTACGTGACAAAATCCTTTCTTAATATGCTTTTTACATTTAGTCAAATGACACTGTTGGTGTGGCTTAATCCAATCCGTAACAGTTCAGAAAAATATCAGCAAGATAATACGGTGACGAAAAATAATTAAGTCTCTTAACGGTTGTATTTTGTCCAGAAATCTACGCGAAATCAGAAAGCGAATTACACAATCAAGAGCTTGAAATCCGAGTCCACTGGGTAAAGTTTACTTCAACCTATTACCTCACAGGTAATGAAATACTCATTAGCGTCTAATATGTCCCATTCTACAGATACACTGGATTTCTCCACGAGTTTATTAGTCATCTCTCCTGGTGGGTGACCCCGAATGTGATTGGTTGTGTGTGTTTTTGTGTTTTTAACACCCTCTAGGCTACTTGTATTGGCAAGAGTCTATTCACTGAGGGCGCAATTACACCGACAGATACACTAATAAAGAGAATAAATTCAAGAAATTCAGCTCTTCATTTTGAAAGGGTAAATCAGTCACTGAATACCACAAAAGCGACTAAGTGAATAATATTTCTAAGCCCATAAATTACCAGTTATCTCACAATCATTTAAATAACACAGTCAATACGAATCAGATTAAGGGTAGAATTTCGGCATTGTTGATGAATATAATTCCCTATTAGATAATTTTCTCATATAACACACAGTGATGCAATATGTAATAGCTGGATGTTGTTTCGAGCATAACGAAAGCTAAAGGAAACTCAAATAGAAAGAGCTTCTCTTACATGCCTCACTTCCTGTCTTAGATTTTCCTTAGTACTACTTAGTTTTTGTGCCCCATTACTTAAACATTTCACCAATCCTGTTTTTACTGACATAGGGTGCGATGATCGGAAATCTAAATGTCGTCAGGTCAGATACATAGGTCAAAGTAGTAGAACAGGGTCAGTCAGACTAGCCGAGCATAAAAACCTAGCAAAATCTAGATTGCTTGACCCGAATAAGATAAGAAATCTGGAGAATAGTTCAGCTATAGCACTCACTAAATGCAATTACACACAACCATACATAGGCTGGATGGGATAAGATGACAGTTTTAAAATCTAATGTAACAACAGATTGGAGGGAGAGATTCATGACAACGGAAGCTTTGTTGATCGAATCAACTGCAAACACGTGTAATAGGAATGATTCAACACCTGTCCAGTCAGACATCTGGAAAATTCTACTACCCCAACGACGACAAATAGGAGAGAACAAAGAAAACTATAAAACTCAAGTTTCGAAGTTGTGTGATTATAATTGAAATGATTATGAACAATAAATTTTGTTCGAAACTTGTCATCCAGTAAATAATACTGTTTCACTGTGTGATATATCTAATAAACAAACTAATATGGAATTATATACTACCGCAGTGTTCAAGTTTTACACATATATTAATATAACCTAATAAATTTATACAATTATATTCCCATCACTGCAGCTCTAGAAGCAGACAGGAACGAAGTGAGCATTGATCACGAACTAAGGTCTTGTCTGAATAAATAATATAAGGTGTTCAGTTTTCTCTAACCTCCAGTATATTCAAATTTCAAAACAAAATACACAAACAAATAAAAGGGTTGGAAATGAGATGACTAATATTCCAAATAGTAGTAGTAGACATATTTATGAACAGTAGAGAACGTAAAGCCCTTGGAACGTTTAATCCCACTGCCAGGTTATGGCGGCGATATTTGGACAAAACATGCACCGTGTAGACATCTCAACATATCCCTAAGTGTCATTTAAATCAACCCAATCAGAGACAAACTCTGTCTGCTAGGAAATTGATAGATTTAAATATTTTGCCGAATAACATATAATGGCTGTGAATTCAGTTACTTAGGTCAAACGAGTAGATAGTGGTCAATTAGTTGTTTGGAACGTGGCAATTTAGCTAGATCTAGGATGATTGATCCTGCTTAGTCAAACTTTCAATCGAAATGACGCAACACGTATATTAAATACATGTAAAATTGCAATAAAAATCGTAGGGAGAGTAAAACAGTATATAAAGCAAGTCACGAAATGTTACGTGAATGCATTATTGTGATTATGAGGAACAAATTGTACTTGAAACAGTGTCCAGTGTATCTATTATAATAAACAAACTTATCTCATTTTGAATCGAATCCGCCTGATGCTGAGTTAGTAGAGTGAAAAGACACGTCCCATTATCTAAGACTGATGTTTTTCTCAGTATATATTGCTGGGAGAATATCATTCATCTCAATAGGTGTCTTAGAATTGTGCAGTTTAAAGGACAACTCAAGACAAAAGTATATTTTCAAGGACTTACGCACAAACAGCCGCAATTGACAATATTAATAACGGCACTTCCCTTTTATTGGTATCACTGTCGGTTAAAGGGAAATGGATGAAGTGAAATACTGCCTTACTCTTCTGTATCCATCTGATCATTTTCTGCGGGTGGCGACATCAGATAGCAATTGCTGACAGCTTCACGAGTCTATAAATCAGTGAGTAGATTTGATATTTCACAAAAACAATTGTTTATAATCACACACCACAAGGAATATCTACATACGAACAAGAAAATATATAATTCAGAATATGTGATACAAAATATCTTAGGTAACATAAAATATTCTACCGATAATCATAACAAAACTTTGATAGAAACATTGAAAAGGGTCTTTCCTGTGAGTAAAGGATTTGTGCACATGTGCATGTCAGACAAACAGAATCCATTGATTGCTGTCACTGGGAAATACAAATATTAGTGTACTGTTCCTGAAGCCAGTATCTCCTACCAGTTTCAATTCATTAATCGTCTGACTGCAATTCATGACTCAGTTCACATTTATTATTATTATTGTTCCATTAATTCCTAGAGGAACATAAGGCTTCAGCCGCACGTCTTCATTGCGTTCGGTTCTCCGCCAACACTTTCACCTGGCTCCACGTCTGACTACATGCTTTCATCTCCTCTTCACATGACCTCCTCCACTCCATGTCACCCTCGCACTGACGACCAACTCGCCGCTTCCTGTTCAGGTTCCACTCGAGCGATGGCCTGGAGTACGATGTCACTTTATGATGGTTTGTTTTCTCAGAGTATGGCCAATCCACCTCCATTTCTTCCTGCATATCTGTTGCACAATCGGTTCCTGCTGGGTTGGTTCGCTAATTGCCAGAGATCCCTGTTGCTGATCCTTTCTGGCCGGCCATCTGATCTTGAGTGGAGTATTGAGTGAAGACAGCTGTTGATGAAGGTGTGTAGTTTGTTCGAAGTACCCTTCGTGACGCGCCAAGTCTCTGATCCGTATATTAAGTAGCACTGACTTCACATTGGAGTTGAGATTCTGGATCTCACTTTTCATGCTGAGTGCTGTTGACCTCCACACAGACTTGAGAGAAATGAAAGCTTGCCTTGTTTTTCCGATCCTTGCTTTGATATCCTCGTCAGTTCCACCTGTATTTGAAACAATGCTTCCCAGATAGGTCGTTAAAGCATGTACACAAGTTTTTAAAATCCACTGATATTCCCTATCAGTAAAATTTTATAGCGATGTAAGCATAAGGTAAGCTCATAAACTCACAGTCTCCTGTCTCAATATTTTATTGATGTTTTCACAAATGATGTATTTATATCATTATTAACAAACCACTTCAATTAACTGACTTCTAACTTTGATGAAATACTCGAGAATGATCTTTGTATATTTTCGTGCGTTTCCATCAAAAAGTTTTATTATAAGTCAACTAGTTCTCGTGTCAATAATACTACTATTATCATGGTGTATGTTACAAATTTCCGAAAAGTTGTAAGAAGTACATAGGTGTATGAGAGAAGTAGAAAAGCTCGAAGTGCAACTTATAGAATCACTTTTTTTTTAAATTTCATACGATTGTCGCTACTTTTGATAAAGATGAGAACTAAAAAGAGTATCAGAGTTCATACGTAGAAGTATCTATGAGTTCTCATGGACCTGTAGTGTACTTTGAATGTTTGAATTTTTGTTTAAACGCATTCATCCACTTTTCGCGCCACACCATCTTGTGATTTCTGACATGACTGTACATACATGGTTCGCTCTCTTGTTGTGCTACCATTCAGCGAACTCTTCGAGCTTACTACCTAGCCGAGGCATCAGATAAGTTGTTCAACATCCTTTTTTATTAAAATTGATATCTCATTTGTGTAAAATACAACTCTCTTCAGGACACACTTCCACTCTCAAGCCTTTTTACTTTGATTTCGTTAGTCAGTACTTACACGCTAGGTAGAGTACTGATAAGGTTATTAAGTGGAGAAGTGTTTAGTAAGTGCGGTTACTTGAGGTCTATCTTAAGTATAACCCACACTTACAGACCTACATAACGATGAAGATTCAGCATGAAAGTACACATAACATTAAATTTCCTTTTTTTTAACTCAAACTTTCATCGTCTCAAAACATTTTGTTCTTCGTATATCTGAAGATCATTTAAATTCTGTTGATTCGTTGATTTCATACAATACATTCAAAAATGCATGGTTCTTACTACGACGGCCATTTTATTCTATATTAACCATTTCAAAGTAGATGTGGAAACAGAAAGTATCATCTTGTCAAACAGGATAGAGAGTAGAAGTTGCTCTTGAAATGTCATTCTTCGAATATTCCTGGGTAAAGACAATAATTTCATGGAAGCTGCATCAACACTAAACAAGTGAAGTACGTCTTCCACATTCAAACGCGTCACCATATTATCAGTGTTTACTCATCCATACACTCAAATAATAAGTACTCTATTGAATGGTAGTCAAAATACTCTTGTACCGTTACATACCTCTTGTATCAGATATTGAGCGAAATAATAACCCTTCTCACTGCACTGTCATGACAGTCGCTTTCACCTGAGTCTTCGGATTAAAATCTCCATGA